TCCCTCTCTCTCTCTTTCTCTCTCTCTCTCACTCTCCCCCCTCTCTCTCCCTCTCTCTCACTCTCCCCCCTCTCTCTCCCCTCTCTCTCTCTCTGTGTCTCTCTCTCTCTCTCTCTCTCTCTCTCTCTCTCTCTCTCTCTCTCTCTTATTCACACAACATCTTTGCCCTCATCTAATGGGAAAACAGTCAACAAAAACACCCCCACATTGTTAGTGTCGCTAGTGGTGGATGTTGTTCACAGTTTTTGTATCTGCTACAGATTTGTCATCGCGCAATGTTAAGGATTTTCTTTACTGTAGACGTTTTAATACACGACATGTGGACACAATTAAGATCATTTAGGAGGCAGGCTTCCCACCCTGCCTGTCAGGACGAACCCAGGCTGAGAGGGACACAACATCCCCGCAGTAAGACTGAGATACTCGATAAACATTCCCCTCACTAGGGGATTGAACTCAGACATCATGTGTGGGATAATTGAGTGCCTAACTACTACACCATAGACATGTTAGGTATCGACGTTGAGAAATGTGGTAAATTTTTATGAATTTTTACGAACGTAATGTTTAGAGGTATTTATGTGTCTTCCTTGTTTTATCAAGATAATATGTAAACCAATGTCCTTCCCATTTTTCTGTCGTGTCTATCTTTTTGTTTCATTTACTCAATGTTGTTATTTCATCCATTTCATGTTTTATATCATTGCAATTGTCTCATGGAGCTTCCATTCATTTCTCTAATCCTGTTTTCTTCTTTCTTTCTATTTCAGGTAGAACTTCTGGACGACGGAGGCTACTCGGAGGTGATCTTAGCCGCGAGAATTGGACAACGCAAGTCGAAAAAGGTTCTGAAGAAGTTCTTGTTGTTTGAGGATGACGACGATACGTCCAGGATGTGGAAATGGTACTCCTTTGAACACGAGCTGTCTTTCTTGCAATCATTGGAGCACCCTAACATCGTCAGGGTATCGGCTGCCTTCCAGTGTCCGTCCTACCTGGGCTTTCTGATGGAGTATCTCCACACGGATCTTTATCGAGGATTGCTGGACGTGAGCTACTCCGAGGCGGAATCCTACACAAGTCAGCTCACAGACGTCATGTGCTACTTGCACGGCCAGCGCGTCATCCACGGAGATCTCAAGCTCGAGAACGTTCTCCTAGACACAGTTGGCCTGGTCAAACTCTGTGACTTCGGTCACTCTCAAGTCATTCCTGGGGACACAGACAAGCCTGACGGCTGGAGAGGCACCGACGGTTATCTGCCACCAGAGATGGACGACTGCCAACTTCACAACGCCTTCAAGATGGACAACTACTCCCTGGGCATCTTGCTGTGGGCTTTGTTCTACGGCACTGCTCCGCACGACGACATTGACTATCTGTACAAAGTGGACAACGGTTCGTTTCTCAAGCCACAACACAAGCACTGTCTTCAGCGCCTTCTGGCTC